GGTTCACCTGTAGATATAGACAGACCTGTGATCTTGCCTTGTACACTCTTTATACATGGTTCACCTGTAGATATAGACATACCTGTGATCTTGCCTTATGCAATCATTATACCTGGTTCACCTGTAGGTATAGACAGACCTGTGATCTTGCCTTGTACACTCTTTATACATGGTTCACCTGTAGATATAGACAGACCTGTGATCTTGCCTTGTACAAAATTTATACATGGTTCAGCTGTAGATATAGACATACCTGTGATCTTGCCTTGTACATTCTTTATACATGGTTCACCTGTAGATATAGACAGACCTGTGATATTGCCTTGTACAATCATTATACATGGGTTCACCTGTAGATATAGACAGACCTGTGATCTTGCCTTATGCAATCATTATACATGGTTCACCTGTAGGTATAGACAGACATGTGATCTTGCCTTGTACACTCTTTATACATGGTTCACCTGTAGATATAGACATACCTGTGATCTTGCCTGGTACAATCATTATACGTGGTTCACCTGTAGGTATAGACAAGATGACGGAGAGAGCAGCTCCCGATGAATGTAATGCTGACCCCACCTTAAAGGAGCTGGCCACATCAAGCGGAACACACAATGTCCAGCCCCCTAATGAGATTCAAGACCCTACAGATGGGGAGAAAGAGGAAGGGGCTGAAGGCACTGAGAAACCAAAGATGACAAGGACAAAAAGCTTGGTTAGTTTTCTGCTGCTGTTGATTTGAATCATTTATGTTTGTAATTTTTGGGGATCTAGAATGTTTATAACTAAAATCCATCAGTGTATTGTTATTATATTATAGGTACTCTATAACACAGGTAAAACTTTCAAAATCTTATGTTTACAAACTATTTTGTCAATGAAAATTCACTAGGGCTGCTGGTAAGTTTGAACTTGAGTCATTTGAAAAATCAAATCATTTATAAATTTGATTCTCTCAATTCCACCACATTCTCAAAGATAAATACACATCAACAGTTTTATGTTATTCAGTATAGAGACTTGTTATTAGAAAGGTGACTTCTCAGGAATGTACAGAATCATTTTGTTTACAGCCCAGCTCTCCAGCCAGTCCCACCCACTCCGCCGCAGGGTCAGATGCAGGAGGGCGTGCCCCCATGATAAGGACAGCCTCCACTTCCAGCCCGGGAGCCTGGGTAGCCACACCTGACTGGGTAAAATTTTTGTACCACTACTAACACACAATGTGAAGAAATCATCAGACAAAAACTCATGAAGTTAATTCCATAAGACTGTAGTGGACATGTGTACCACTTTGAGTTGGACATTAAATTAGCAATTATTCTTTTTCATGCAAAAAAAGGGGCCCCGGTGGCCCACTGGTTAAGGTGTCTGACAATATTCTGCTACCACTAGCCCTCCACCACTTGGTCATGGGTTCGAGACCTACATGGGGCAGTTGTCAGGTACTGACCGTAGGTCGGTGGTTTTTCTCTGGGAACTCCGCCTTTCCTCTACCACTAAAACCTTAAATGACCATAGCTGTTAATAAGACGTTAATCACAAACAAACCAAACCAATTCATGACCAAAAAAATTGTCTATTACTGGGGTTGAAATATACTTAAGTGGCATTAAGATTTTTGAATTATTAAATGTTACCGTATATCACTAGAATAGAATATCTGTACTGTAGCAGGTATTGTACTCTTAGTTCAGTAGGCTAACACATGTTTATCTTTGTAGTTATTGTTGGCAAACAAAAACCTCTGACGTTAATGAAAGAGTCTAATTGTTTTATTTGTATAGGTGATGTCATGGAAACAGAAATTACCTCTTCAGACCATAATGAGGATGTTACAGGTGTTGGTCCCACAGGTAGAGAAGATCTGTATAGACAAGTAAGTATCTTACCTGTCCTCAGGTGTTAAATGTGTAGGTAGAGGAGATCTGTATAGACAAGTATCTTACCTGTTCTCAGGGGTTAAGTGTACAGGTAGAGAAGATCTGTATAGACAAGTAAGTATCTTACCTGTTCTCAGGTGTAAAGCATACAGGTAGAGGAGATCTGTATAGACAAGTAAGTATCTTACCTGTTCTCAGGTGTTAAGTGTACAGGTAGAGAAGATCTGTATAGACAAGTAAGTATCTTACCTCTCCTCAGGTGTTGAGGATATCTGTATAGATAAGTAAGTATCTTACCTGTCCTCAGGTGTTAAGTGTACAGGGAGAGAAGATCTGTATAGATAAGTAAGTATCTTACCTGTTCTCAGGTGTTAAGTGTGTAGGTAGAGAAGATCTGTATAGATAAGTAAGTATCTTACCTGTCCTCAGGTGTTAGGTGTACAGGTAGAGGAGATCTGTATAGACAAGTAAGTATCTTACCTGTCCTCAGGTGTTAAGTGTACAGATAGAGAAGATCTGTATAGACAAGTAAGTATCTTACCTGTTCTCAGGTGTTAGGTGTACAGGTAGAGAAGATCTGTATAGACAAGTAAGTATCTTACCTGTTCTCAGGTGTTAAGTGTGTAGGTAGAGAAGATCTGTATATACAAGTAAGTATCTTACCTGTCCTCAGGTGTTAAGTGTGTAGGTAGAGGAGATCTGTATAGACAAGTAAGTATCTTACCTGTTCTCAGGTGTTAAGTGTACAGGTAGAGAAGATCTGGGTAGATAAGTAAGTATCTTACCTGTCCTCAGGTGTTAAGTGTACAGGTAGAGAAGATATGTATAGACAAGTAAGTATCTTACCTGTCCTCAGGTGTTAAATGTGTAGGTAGAGGAGATCTGTATAGACAAGTAAGTATCTTACCTGTCCTCAGGTGTTAAGCGTACAGATAGAGAAGATCTGTATAGACAAGTAAGTATCTTCCCTGTCCTCAGGTGTTAAATGTGTAGGTAGAGAAGCTCTGTATAGACAAGTAAGTATCTTACCTGTCCTCAGGTGTTAAGTGTACAGATAGAGAAGATCTGTATAGACAAGCAAGTATCTTACCTGTTCTCAGGTGTTAGGTGTACAGGTAGAGAATATCTGTATAGACAAGTAAGTATCTTACCTGTCCCCAGGTGTTAAGTGTACAGGTAGAGAAGATCTGTATAGACAAGTAAGCGTGATTAGATTCTGATTTGTTTGTATATAAGCAGGTGTTAAACTGATAGTTAGAGAAGATTTATTGTACCAGTAAGTAATGAATAAATTTTCTCCCACAACCACTATAGTTTTCCTCTCTCACCTCTCATTGGATAAACCTGGTAGGAGTTGGTAAACATTTTTGGCTACCCACTAGTGGGTTACACCCTGGACGTGATTTCATTGGTCAATCTTTCAATTATGATGCTAATAACGATGCTTTGCAGCATCATCAGTGATCTTCCATTTTGACGCCATGATTCAAGGAAATTGTTTCCCCAATCACAAACAGACACAACATATATCCAAGGGAAACCTGGTTTAACAGGAGCCTTCGCTTTCTGTTCCTCAGGTTCAGAAGATTTTAATTAATAGCTGTAGGAACTGACAACCAACACTAGATTTAGGATACAAAATAATTTATTCATGTACACACATTAATGAGAACATACAAATAATTACAATGTAGATAAACAACAACTCCCAAACATTCAGCCACTGAAACTCATATTCATAAAACAAATATACTTCACATACACATACTGATAACCCCATGGCCCACATGCATTACCCTAAATGGCTATGTGGCCTTACCTGCTACAGTCTAGGGGAATGAGAAACAAATGGCATGATCGGTGCCAGGTGTTTGCTGTCCCCATGACATGCGTTATACATCTGCATTTATTGCTAATACACCCATTGAACACTCACCACTTTCACAACCAATCAGCGCACAGATTACATACTACCTACGGAAATAGCCTTACAGAAAACCCCAGATGAATATCATTGAATGTACAAGTGATTGCTACAGATCTATACACAACTGTACGTAAAAATCATTTGATTTCCCTTTCGTACACATTTAAACACACATACACTCATACCATGCATGGTTTTCCAGATAACTGTTAATGTTGTGGGAGAAATAGGTCCCCTTATTCCTGATTGCTGTGTTCATGTTTATCTTACTCTCATTAGTTAATTTTCTAAATTGTAAAAGACACTCAGGTAAATTTGTGTTTTTTATACAATTTGAAAATTTTAACTAACTTGAGTTAAATAGTAACACACTAACCAACTATTACTCATTGGGGAACCTCTATATAACCTGTACATATAGTTACCAGATATGCCGGTTTCTGACTGTTACAGAGGTCTGACTGATGAGAGTGAGATCCTGAAATTCCTCCAGCATGGTACATTGGTTGGTCTCCTACCTGTGCCGCACCCTATCCTTATCCGCAAGTACCAAGCTAACAGTGGTACAACCATGTGGTTCCGCACCTACCTGTGGGGCGTCATATATCTCAGGTGAGTACTAACAAGGTTCTACGCCTACCTGTAGGGCGTTATATATCTCAGGTGAGTACTGGCGACGTTCTAAACTTACCTGTTGGGTGTCATATATTTCAGATAATTACTGACAAGGTTCTACACCTACCTGTGTTTGGGATTTTCTTAGGTTCACTTCCTTGTGCTGTTTTATATAATTGACTCCTTTTGTATGTCCATCAAGCTTTCCTGTGTCCACCTCTATGACATTCGGTTAGGTTTCGCATTAGCTCCATTTCTTTAATACGAGAAGTTCAGAAGTCATCATCCTTCATATGTGGATACATTAGAGGTGTTCACCAATATTGTCAATGTAGGTCAATGTGACTTATTTGTTCTGCTTCACTGACTTTGGTTAGAGTTTGTATTAAGCTCGTTTTCTTTGGTTATTTTGCATTTACCTCCATTTCCATCAAAGTGGATGCAGAGGCATTTGAACATTTAGAAACATTTTGTAGTCTACCATTTATATTCCCAATTGAACATAAGATTGGTATGCTTGTTGACATTTATACTCTCTTTCCTCAGGAACGTGGACCCACCAGTGTGGTATGACACAAATGTGAAGTTGTTTGAAATCCAGCGAGTTTGAAATTCTTTAAAGAACAAAGAACATAGCCCTGTGAGACTTCCGATAACAATGGTATGCATCTCCCCGTGCAGTGTCGGAAAATCTCTTGAAATTGAATATCTCTGTGACTGAGTTGATATAAACTTTGAACTATTTCCGGTTGGTAATTCTTGTTAATATAAAAATACCAACTCAAAACGGAAACGTCTTCATGTAGAATTAAGGAAATTTCTAGATTGGAACTTTATTGACTATGAATGCAAACTAAAAGCAGTTCAATGCTTATACTTATCATTTCTTAGAATATATTGATACCCTAGAAAAGGGTATTTTAATTCAGGTATGGGAAGAGTACACCTCAATGTTACTCTTGCCCAATGACAAACATTATTTAAGTGATTTGATTGTAAAGCTGACAATTTCAACGCACTGGCATTTTAAGCAAAGAGAAGTTTATTGCGGAAAAAGTATTTCAAGTACAGACCAATTTTTTTTTGTGACAGATTTACGTTAGTTTAAACCTTTTTGTGTATATTTGTACTCATTCACTGTTGAATTTATTGTTGTTATCATAATACCACATGTGCATGCAGACCTATGGTCATTACTGGGGTATAGGGCAACAGGTGTTTGGTACATCTGCCAAAATGTTGCCCTTGACATGCATCATTGGGCAACAGTTAAGGGTTTGGGTCTAACAAATAGCCTATAGTCCTCCATCACAGTCAACAACTGTATATTATTTCATCTGTTAACACATTGCATTCTTTTAAGACAAGAATCAAAATCAGAAAATTGGGAATAGTGCCGTTTTGGTTTATTATGTTCTGAATGGTTGGAATGAAGTTGTTCGTTAATGAAATAGAGATTGACCTAGAAATGGTATGCTGCTTTCTGACTGTTCTTAACAAAGACTTTAAAGGCCTGCATTAACATTTACAGGTCCATCAAGTTTTATCCTGGAAATGTGATATCTAAAAGTAGACAAGCGGGCTTTTCATGAAAGAGTTGTCTCTCTTGCAAGCTATTTTGTATTGAATTACCAGGAGACTAGGCTGCTATCTCAATAGAGAGTGAGTGGTCACGAGTACAGAAAGTTGACCCTGTAAAGTTTGATACGTAGAGGATATTTAGTGATTTCCCATTGAAAACCAAATATATTTCTCAAGTTTGGCAAAATACCAATTTTATCAGCTGTGAAAAATTCAAGTGAAAATAATGGTATATTCTGCCATACAAGGGAAATATATTTGGTGTTAAATGAGAAAATCATTAAAAATCTTTGAGAAGTGCATGGAGAAGTGGATGGATTAATAGCATACTCTTTTACGCAATATTCTAAGGACGTCATGCTTTACAACAAGGTTGGGCATCAATTTGAGTAGGCTACTCAATACAATTCTACTGATTACTAATATCATCTGGTAAGAGATGCTTACAAAAACTGTATCAGTTGTCTAGGTTAGTAAACACCTTAGTGTATGTAGCAAAGACCAAAACAACCACTTATTTTACTGTCACTGTATCTGCATTTTCTAAGTTTCAATATTTCCAAATGTGAATCTCAAATTGTTAAAACAAAATCATATGGAATTTAGAAGCATATTTATTTTTTAGAAATATGTGCCAAAAGAAACCATATGTATCTATTTGAATTGCATGTAGAATGTATGTGTATTTGTTAAACTATTCCTATTTGAAAATTCTACAATTAAACATTTACATCATTTCTGTACTATTTCAAGTACATTATTATGTACTTCTTGAATTAAGAAATAATCAAACTCTAGGTATTGTACCTGGTGAACCAAAAGGTCACAAACAATCTATTAGAAGTGTATGTAGCCAATAATAGGTAATAAAACAGTAGAAGTAGACCTAGATAGGGGTTGTGGTATATAGCAGATAGTTCGCTTCTACCTACTATTCTTCTGTTTACTATTGTTAGGGTTTGTTATGTTTTATCATTGTAGTGTACATCTTTACCCGTTAACGTGATTATCCTATCTTGTAGGATGTGTGAGTTATGTTGAATGTCAAGATTTTTGTGTTTATCTTGTTTTTGAGTTGTGAAGTGATGAAATTACAAATCATGTGTCTGTTTGCACTTGACAGGACCCAGTTGATCAAGGCCTGAATACCTTAATAATAATTTAACGGAAATCTTTTGTCTGTATATTTTCAAAGATATTTGGGGGAAAATTAAACGTACACTTACAATATACAGAAAAAAATCCCCAAAAAGAAAAAAATTATGTTTCAGATAATGCTCACAAAAGTATTTAGAACATTTGCTTTTGACTCATTCAGCTCATCACAAAACACTCGAGAGGTACATCATGGAATAATAATCTGTAACTGTACCCCGAAGTGATTTATTCAAGTGATTTTAAAAATAACAGCTTTTCTGGTACATGGTATAATCTCTACAGCTCCATGGTCTTAGACACTGCTTGCTATGCATAATATTTTGCCATTCTTTCTATGGTGAATTTTACTTTTTTTTTTCACTATTACATATTTTGTATGATTAAAATTAGAGAAATTAATCATTTCAGATTTATCATATTTGAAGAGACAGTTCTAAATCGTAAATAATTTCTACACTCATGTATTTAATTCATTGAAAATACTGCAGTGTATTTCAATTCATTTAAGTAGAATTGATTAATTTAGGGGACACCAATCAAGCATGGTACATTTTAAATTTTAGCTACATTTACTAGGTCTATAAAATAAACACCTGTAATACTCAGCCTGTAAGATCTGACTGGGGGGATTTGTTTGTGTTGATGTGTGAAGGCACTTCAAGCTAGGTACAGAAAATTATTAATTTTGAAACACAACATTTTAAAAACAAAAACACTTCATACATCCCCAGGCATTTTAGTCTTTGTGACTCCCTTTTCAGACCATTGGCTGTTCACATATCTATTACATTCCATTCCCATATCTTCCTCGGATTAGATATATATTTCTGTGGAATCCTATTATTCATGTACAGTGTTATTTAATGGCGGGCTTTGTCGGGGTTCTGTTAATGACATATTAAGATATATATAGTTATCTCAATGTTGTATAATTAGCGGCATGTTTATCTCGGTGTTTTTGTGCTTCTCTTGTTCTGTTTTTCTTTTCCTAGAAAGTCATTTGTGAACTTTGAGTTTTTTACATTATTTTTTAATTGCTCTACATTTTTACTACAATGTTTTGAAAGCTGTATCAGACTAAATGTATATGAAATCAGTTCATCTTGTTTATTCAAGACAATACTATTATTTTTTATGAAATCCAAATAAATAATTTTATATTATTGTGAATTAACTGTGGAGCTATATATCCTCATCTTGAATAGACAAGACAGCTGTACATCCTGATGTTGACTGTAGACAAGACAGCAGTACATCCTGATGTTGACTGTAGACAAGACAGCTGTACATCCTGATGTTGACCAAAGACAAGACAGCAGTACATCCTGATGTTGATTGAAGACAAGGGAGATGTACATCCTGATGTTGACTGAAGACAAGACAGCTGTACATCCTGATGTTGACTGTAGACAAGGGAGCTGTACATCCTGGTGTTGACTGAAGACAAGACAGCTGCACATCCTGATGTTGACTGTAGACAAGGGAGATGTACATCCTGATGTTGACTGAAGACAAGACAGCTGTACATCCTGATGTTGACCGTAGACAAAGGAGATGTACATCCTAATGTTGACACTAGACAAGGGAGCTGTACATCCTGGTGTTGACTGAAGACAAGGGAGATGTACATCCTGATTTTGACTGAAGACAAGACAGCTGTACATCCTGATGTTGACTGTAGACAAAGGAGATGTACATCCTAATGTTGACACTAAACAAGGGAGCTGTACATCCTGATGTTGACTGTAGACAAGACAGCAGTACTTCCCGATGTTGACTGAAGACAAGACAGCAGTACATCCTGATGTTGACTGTAGACAAGACAGCTGTACATCCTGATGTTGACTGTAGATAAGACAGCAGTACGTCCTGGTTGTGACTGAAGACAAGGGAGAGACAAGACAGCTGTACATCCTGATGTTGACTGTAGATAAGACAGCAGTACATCCTGATGTTGACTGTATATAAAACAGCAGTACATCCTGATGTTGACTGTAGACAAAGGAGATGTACAGCCTAATGTTGACACTAGACAAGACAGCTCTACATCCTGATGTTGACTGAAGACCAGGGAGCTGTACATCCTGATGTTGACTGTAGACAAAGGAGATGTACATCCTAATGTTGACTGAAGACAAGACAACAGTACATCCTGATGTTGACTGTAGACAAGGGAGATGGACATCCTGATGTTGACTGTAGACAAAGGAGATGTACAGCCTAATGTTGACACTAGACAAGACAGCAGTTCATCCTGATGTTGACTGAAGACAAGGGAGCTGTACATCCTGATGTTGAATGGCAAGGGAGCTGTACATCCTGATGTTGACTGAAGACAAGGGAGATGTACATACTGATGTTGACACTAGACAAGACAGCTGTACATCCTGATGTTGACTGAATATAAGACAGCAGTACATCCTGATGTTGACTGTAGACAAAGGAGATGTACAGCCTGGCGTTGACTGATGATGTTGACTGAAGGCAAGGGAGATGTACATCTTGATGTTGACTGAAGGCAAGGGAGATGTACATCCTGGCTTGACTGAAGACAAGGGAGATGTACATCTTGATGTTGACTGAAGGCAAGGGAGATGTACATCCTGACGTTGACTGAAGACAAGACAGCTGCACATCCTGATGTTGACGGAAGACAAGACAGCTGTACGTCCTGATGTTTACTGAAGACAAGACAGCTGTACATCCTGAAGTTGACTGTAGACAAGCCAGCTGTGCATCCTGATGTTGACCGAAGACAAGACAGCAGTACAACCTGATGTTCACTGTAGACAAGGGAGATACTGATGTTGACAGTAGACAAGACAGCAGTACAACCTGATGTTCACTGTAGACAAGGGAGATATACATACTGATGTTGACAGTAGACAAGACAGCATTACATCCTGATGTTGAATGGAAAGGGAGCTGTACATCCTGATGATGACTGTAGACAAGACAGCTGTACGTCCTGATGTTTACTGAAGACAAGACAGCTGTGCATCCTGATGTTGACGGAAGACAAGACAGCTGCACATCCTGATGTTGAATGGAAAGGGAGCTGTACATCCTGATGTTGACTGTAGACAAGGGAGATGTACATCCTGATGTTGACTGAAGACAAGGGAGATGTACATCCTGATGTTGACTGAAGACAAGGGAGATGTACATCCTGATGTTGACTGAAGACAAGGGAGATGTACATCCTGATGTTGACTGAAGACAAGGGAGATGTACATCCTGATGTTGACTGTAGACAAGACAGCTGTACATCCTGATGTTGACTGTAGATAAGACAGCAGTACGTCCTGGTTGTGACTGAAGACAAGGGAGATGTACATCCTGGTGTTGACTGAAGACAAGGGAGATGTACATCCTGATGTAAACACTAGACAAGACAGCTGTACATCCTGATGTTGACTGTAGA